GGGAGGAAGGGAGGAAGGGAGGAAGGGAGGAAGGGATAACTTCCTCCCAGTGGTTTGTCATATATGTGGACATGACTTACATAATTTACCCTTCTTCTTCTAGATCCTCCCAGTTCCTACCATGCTCCCCTTTTCTTTAACTATTATCCTTACTAATATTTGAATAAGTATATTCTTCTGAATCTATTTAGTGTTTGTCATATGCATGTTTTTAGTGCTGATCACTTGAAATTAGATAACCAGTTAAGGGTCCATCACTGGGAAAGGCATATTCTCCCTCTCTCAGCAGTCATTAACTACCTGTGGCTCATCATAGGACCTTGAGCAATTCTCCCATCCAAATTGGGATGATGTCAGTTGGTTTTGTAACTATTCAGGTCTTGATTAGACACCCATGCTGTTGAGAGCTCATGGATGCAGCTTCTTTCATGTCATACACACATGACAAATCACACAACAGATGTCCTGGTCTTCTGGCTCTAACAATGATGTAAGATGAAGTTTCCATGATGTTCCGTAAGCATAGGTGTAAGGGTTGTGTTGTAGGCACGCTAGTCAGGGCAACCCATGGTCAGTGGGTTTTGGCAATTTGACCAGCTATGGCTTTCTGTAATGGCCTGCCTATGCATTTTATTCTTGTTTTAAGTACTAGGAATGTTTATTCTTAACTTCTGCTTTTCTACCTTTCTTCTGCCTTTGCCATCCACTGCACCCAAGCCCTAGCATCTAGATAAACTAAGTCTATTCAGGACATGGACACATAGCAAAGATCTTGGGGCAAATTTTGAGGTAAATAAAAGTTATGTGTGCAGAGACCCAAATCTAACCCTGGACCAGGCAGGAGTCTAGCACAGTAGCACAGCAAGTGCCTGAAACATCGCAGGACTGATGGTGGCAGCTGTGGCCAAACTTTCATCTTCCTCCCTCGGGAACTCTGCTCACACGCAGGTGTTGTCCTGAGAAAGCCAGCAGCCCTGACTTCGAGGGTCATGAACCAAAACCTAAACCTGGTGTGGTATGGTGTGTGTGTGTGTGTGTGTGTGTGTGTGTAAGTCCCGAGCAGAAGTGTCTGCTTGCTCTTCGAGCTGCAGAATCACTGATGGTTAGGCACAGGTGCTGAGACGCAAGGAAAGTGAGACGGATGTGCATCTCAGGTGTTTCCCGCAGAAGGTACCCTCCCAGGAGCCAGGAGTCAGCTTTACAAACGCCTCCCCACGACAAACCAGATGCGCAGTTCCTGCCGGCATAGTGAATCTCAACCTGAGTCACCCAGAAGAAATACAAATTTTATCAAAAACAAAAATTAGACAAATCTCAAGTTTACAACAACAACCTTTATAATAAAAAGATGACATTTTCTCATTTTTTAAATTGTGAACCTTGCTTGGTATGTTGGTGAGATATTTCCCTTTCTTTTATTTATTTGCATCTTCAATATTCAGTGTATATTGGACCCCAAAGCACTTAGCCGTCTATGCTGCACGTACGCTCCAGCCACTGTTGGCAGTGTCCTTTACACAGGGCTATGCTGTATTTTCTAAGTGTATGGGGAATTCTTCCAGCTAATGGGACAGTACTGTTCATGGCGGCTGTGGACAGGGACATCTCTAAGGCTCAGGAGGGGAGCTGCACACCTAGATACACTCCCTAGAGTTTTTCTGCAATAGCTACATACTAATGCTTTTCGTGTTGCCCCAGGGAATAGAGGAAATGCCTGCCCTCACCCTGCTCATGTGACCCACCCATCTCCAGGGGTTCATACCAAGGCCTTACTACAAAGCTAGAAGGGAGGGGACAATGAATGGGTCTGCTTCCAATGGTCTGTTCCGGTCACCCCAGCTATCATCTCTGCCTTTTAAGTGTTTTCTAGAATAAGCGCTTCTCGGAGTTCTACGTCATCAGATTGTTTCCTGTATACCTTCATCTCTCAATCTCATTTATCATGACAGAAAGTCTTTAGAACTTTTATTCTCCTTTTATGCTCCTTTTAATTTAAGTTTTTCTTTCTTTACTTCCTTCCTTCCTTCTTTCTTTCTTTCCTTTTCCTTTTTTTTGGTTTTTGTTTTTTGTTTTGTTTTTTGAGACAGGGTTTTTCTGTAGCTTTGAAGACTGTTCTGGAACTCACTGTGTAGGCCAGGATCACCTTGATCTCACAGAGATCTACCTACCTCTGCCTCCTCAGTGCTGGGATTAAAGGTGTGCACCACCACCGCCCCTTTTTAAAGTAAGAATTAAAGAAGTGTTTCACTTTTGAAATGAAAGAATTTCTTTTGGGGAGAAAGTTTCTAATGAAGTCACACACACACACACACACACACACACACACACACACACACACACCGTCCTTCCCCGTGTCATTCCCTGTCGCTGTCTTGTTCACCTTTCCCTGAATAAGAACCCTTATGAGAGCCGTGGGAATTGTTTGGGATGGGACTGTAAACCTCAAAGCAGTAAAACATCTCTATGCTAGCCACAGCCCAGAGCAAACGTGAAGTTAGAAGAAAAGCCACAAGCACTATCTTGTATGCTGACAAGACAAAGTTCTAGAGGAATAATAAAAGTTAGCACTCAGTGACATTTTCCTGGGTATGGATTCTCACATAGGCAGTTGCTCTCAAACTTCCTTCTCTAGCACAAAAGGCTAAGATGGAACTAGGGGCATGGCTCGCTGATAGCCATTTGTCTGGCACACGCAAGGCTTAGGTTCTAGGCCCAAAATTGCATATTCATTCTCTACCGCTCCATTTTATAAATAAATAAATTCTACTTTTAAATTACATATGTATACTTTAAAATGGCTGAGTCTAATGCTGTGTGCCTGCCATTCCCATGGAGGGTAAGACAGAAAGATTGTTCTGCCTGGAGTATGTAAAAGGCACCACGTCAGCCAGGGCTATACAGCAAGACTTAGGCTGAAAAATAAATAAGTAAAAGGAAATTACCAAAAGAAAAAGCAGGAAGTCAAGAATGAGGCAGTACACTCAAACATAGTCATGTTTGTTTCATATGGAACACCAACCCCCTCACCCACCACTGCACAATTAGAACAAATATTGCTAAAATTGTCAAGCCTGTGAACACACACGAGAGACCATAGCATATGCCTGCTACAAATCTATAAGCTCTTGAAGTGTAGGCATATAGAAATTGATTGTGTGTGCTTTATTAAGGCAAAAATAAAGGCTTCATTCATTATTTACCTACAATGTGTGGTAACACCAAAACAATGAAGAAACAAAACAGGCTCTCGGGACCATTGGGCTCACAGTGTGATCTTGCAAGGAGGATGAAAAGTCAAGCATGTGAACACTGAAGAGGGGACAAGTCGGATAGTGCACACACGAGGGACAAGTGTTAGATAGTGCACACACAGGGTACAAGCCTCAGATAGTGCACACACGGGACAAGTGTCAGATAATGCATACACGGGGGACAAGCATCAAATAGTGCACACACAGGACCAGCATCAGATATTGCACACACAAGGAGGGGACAAGCGTCAAATAGTGCACACACGTTACAGCAAACTGTAGCTGCAGACTAATTCGAAAAGCAGAGGTGGTCTGTGATCTCCTGCACACATGTGCAGCCTGAAGAAAGGAAGGGATGGAGCCACTACTGGACCAAAAACAAAATGGAAAAGAAAGGATAAACGAAATGGAAATGTAGTAGAAACCATCAGGGTTTGTAAGGGTTTTCATTCACAAGAGAGAGCAGAAGGAAAAGAGGGACTGGGTGCGAGGAGAGAGGAGAAGGGCAGTTCTCTGGAGAATGAGCCAGTTTCCGCAGGGATAAGAAAGCAGCCTTGATCCTCAGCACTGAGGCTGGCACAGTTTCCGCAACTGTTTAGAGAAATGCAGCGTGCTCCCCATCATTAATCTTTTCTAAAGAAAGGCTTTGTTCTGCACCTGTATAAACAACCCAGATTTTTAAAACCTATATGCTTGCCCCTAATGTGTGAGCGTATGTATTATAGTGATAGCTTCAAGTCATCTATAGGCAACACCTCTGCTCTACATCGATCTGCGGGCACCCCGCCCCCAACCCAACCCACCTCCTTTAGCAGAGACAGGCTTGCCTACAGTCAAGTCCAAGTTCAAGCTCTCTTTAAAAAAAAAAAATTAATCCATTCTCTGCTAAATACAGCTCTGTTTTCCCAGCCCCCCAAATCTGAAGGCAGAGGGGACCCTTTTACTGAGTTGTCTCTTAATGAGTTCCTCTCTCACTGCTCCCCCAAGCAAAGACAAAATGCACAAGACAACTTCTGAAGTAGGAGCAAGCAGCAGGGTGTGTGTGGAGTATCCCTAAGGAGGAGGCCTGGCCTGCAGGATGAAGTGATGCCTGGGGCTGAAATCAGTCCCTGCTAGCCACCTGTTACAGTGCTTCAGGTTCTGGGCTCTGGGATTGGTTCTGCTGTGAAGACTAGAATTTGCGGGGCAGCTTCTGCCTCCCATGCATCTGCCTGTCCCATCCTCATCTGGAACCCTTGAACCACAAGAGTGGACAACTGTGCCCCAAGGAGAAGAACTCAGTTTCCTCGTTGTCAGCCAGGGAAGTCATATCCCAACCCCTGAAGGGAGCGATTCCTTACAGGTGCCCACAGCAGAAGCTCTGGTGGACACCTACCACTGACTCAACAAAGCCCCTCCCCCTGAGCACACAACGTGACTCCCTCCAACCTCAGAAAAGAACCCAGAATCTCCTTTTGTTCCAGCTAGGCTTGGGGAAAGCAAGGTGTTTTGTTTTGAGTTGAAACACAGCACAAGTCAAGGTGCTGCTTCATTATCGATTTCGGTCTTTTCTCTTTTTCTTTACTCCTTCCTAATTTGATTTTAGCGAGGCAATTGTTCTGACTTACTATTCTGCATTCAAGAACTTGCTCCTCAGCGTAGTGCCTAAAATGGCCATGGGTTCCCTCGCTACCACTCAAATAGTCGGCAACTGCACTATGGTGCTGAGAACGAAATCACTGTGCTTTGGTACACTTACAACAGTGGAAAATAACATCTCGGTGACTGATGTGTGGGGAGTAGGCGTGTGACGACTGAAATGCTACACACAGCGTCAGGACTATGTATTTGTTATGCTAGTGATATTGCAGGATGGACAAAATAATGTGTACGTTGAAGATGCTGTTTGAAGATAAAACGAGTCAAAGGAGAAAAAAAAAGCGCTACGTGAATCAGAAGGCTATCTTGAAGGTGAGGAGAAAAAAATAAGTCAAGCGATTCATAGGATGTTAAAACCGCTCCTTGTGTTTTGCCCTTGCTCTGCACTCACTCTGAGAAGCCTTGGATAAACAAACACACATCATGCGTGTTCATCTCGAACAACAGTTCCCGTGGAACAAACTGGGAAAGAAACTGCGGTGGGTACGCTCGGATTCTTAAGGGCCCACTAAGACCAGCTGCAGATGGAAGTGGGTTGAGTGGAAAGAAGGCCTTTTTCCATTTTTACCCCCCAAATCCCACTTACCTCACACAGATACTCTTAGGGTCATTGTCGGGTCTAGAGGCCCAAGTCTGGGCTTTGCGCAGACGTTCCTTGCCCCCGCCCCACTAACCGCTCAGCTTAGAAAAATGATCCCCACCCCTTCCACGCCCCCGCCCCACCTCTTGTTCCCCTTTCAAACCCCCTCTGCTTTGCCGGGGGTGGTTTGTCCCAAGGAGTACAGATAAATAGTCCTGTCAAAAGGCGCTGCTTGCGGCTGTACTTTTGGGTCCAGAGTCAAGTTCAGAGCCCCAGGCTGGCGGGTCAGCGGCCAGTCGCGCCTGCTCCAAGCGCCCAGCTCCTTGGGGACCCGATCTGCGACGGGCCCGGGTCTCCGCTACTCCTCTGAGCTCTCTCACGCCCCATCCTCTTCCAGTGAGCGGAAGCCGGAGTCGGCGAGACTGGCCGGGGCGGAGAAAGGCGGGCGCGCGTGGGCGCCGGGGACTAGGCGATGTCCACCGGCTCGGTGAGTGACCCCGAAGACATGGAGGTGAGAGGGCTGCAGCGGGTCTACCCCACCCCCGCCTCCAAGAGGCCACCTCTGCACGATGCCGAGCACGGCTACGTCTCGCCCAGCGACAATTCTTCCGCGGAGGAGGAGGACCCCGACGGCGAAGAGGAGCCACGCTCTTTGGGAGCCGCGGGCGTCCCGGGGAGCTGCAAGAGGAAGCGGCCCCGTGTGGCTGGCCCCGGCGGCGCAGGTGGCGGTGCAGGTGGCGATGCGGGCGGCGCTGGTAAGAAGCCGCTCCCGCCCAAGGGCTCGGCCGCTGAGTGCAAGCAGTCGCAGCGGAACGCCGCCAACGCCCGCGAGCGGGCCCGGATGCGCGTGCTGAGCAAAGCCTTCTCCAGACTCAAGACCAGCCTGCCCTGGGTGCCGCCCGACACCAAGCTTTCCAAACTGGACACGCTGCGCCTGGCTTCCAGCTACATCGCGCACCTGCGCCAGCTGCTGCAGGAGGACCGCTACGAGAACGGATACGTGCACCCGGTGAACCTGGTAGGGACAGGGACGCGGCGCGGGTGGCCCGGGGCCAGCAGCCCTGAGCGAAACCCGGGCGCAGGGCTGGGTCTGCCCCAGAGGAAGAGCCAACAGAAGGAAGGTTTCTAGAGCCGGTGGTGAGGAATCTGGTTTAGTGGCCCCCCCAAATCAAGGCAGTAGGAGTCAGCCCTTTTTCTTGGAGAAAAATCATTCGGGCTTCTAATCAGTGTCCTGGTCCTTTGCCCAGTGACAGCTATTCGTTAACACCCTACTTCCGGGATAAACTGTGACTCCCCATTGCGAGTATTTCTGCATTTAGCCGAAAGGAAAAATCTGAGATACACAACTTTTTCCAGACAACAGCCTGGCAGGTTTGAATCAGCCAGCGCTGTTTTCTTTAAAGTGGGAGAGAAAACCTAACTCTTTGAAAAAGTTTGAGTGGTTTAAAACAAAGCAAAACAAAACACTAATGGAGGATAGTTTTCCCAGACGCGATTGTCCGGAAAGTCCCTCTCTAACCTGCCAGCTTCCTGGCCTTGGGAAAGATCTCATCCAAATTTACTCGTATGGGGGAGGGGACATTAAATCACAGAATCCTAAACTCGCACTTTTCACCCAAAAAGCATGCTAATAGAAGAACAAGATGCACAAGTTCCTAGAACGCTAATAAAAGCCGGGGACCTCTGGGGAGAGCGGTTTCGTTTTGAGCTAGTTTCTCCTCCGTATCTGACGCTCATTTCGATTTTTCAGACGTGGCCATTCGTGGTCTCTGGACGGCCGGACTCTGACACCAAAGATGTTTCTGCAGCCAGCAGACTCTGTGGAACTTCCGCTTAGAAGGACAGCAACACAGCTGATGGATTATGTTAAATGGAAAGGACCGGGCCAAGGAGGTCCTATTGGATTCCGGACCTTCTCATTTTCCTGGGCCTGTTAACAGGACGGGTGACTATCCTGGTGGAGCGCAGGTGGACATGGCTGCCGCGGATCAGCGCAACTGTAGCGGTTTCGTGGGGAGAAGTCTCAGACTAGATCCAACCTGGGGCATTAGCTCTGAGCTCAAACCATGCCGTTTGAGTCCACTGCAGAATCGGGCTGGTTTTTAAGCTAATGACGATTTTCGCTGTGGTTTCCCTGCGCAGCCAGGTCCTTCCCTGTGACCTTGGCTGAGCACTCTGGAAAGGTTGGAAAAGCCCATCAGGGACCTATTTCTAAGTTTCGGAGGACAGTGTCAAACTCCCACCAGTAAGTTCTCTTTTAGTGGCGGTACATGGCGAGATGGTAATATATACCACGGGAAGTCGGTTTTGCCCTCAATCCCCCAGGGTTGGGGTCTTCTTCCCGAGCTCCCTTGTCTCTCTGATCAGTGTTAGGCCTGCCATGTGTCTGGTCTCCACTCAGTGGACCCAGCTGTTTTATTTGGTTCTCAGTCTCCTCCCCACCCACACTCTCCCCTGAAGTCTTATCTGACTGCCCATTTTGTGGCATGCACTTCACGCCTCTAAACAGGTCACTCCTGCCACAGCAAAGCCTCCTGTGGGGTTCATGTTCTCCCCCCACCCACTATTCTTCCTGGTCCAAGGACTGAGCATGGTGGGCGGTTGGGGCTGGTCTCTCTACCCACTGACCTGCTGGCTTCTACCCAGTGCATGGTGCTTGGTGGTCCTGGCCATGCTGTGGTGACGCTGCTCTACCATGGTAACGAACATATGTAAATAAATTTATTTTTTTATGAACAAAAACATGCGTTGTGAAAATCTTTTCCAAAACTGTTTGGTCTGCAAGCTAACTTTAAACGGGAAGGTCTCTCCTCTCAACAGGATGCTGAGCTATTACTGGAGGCAGATGGTGGAGGTCCAGTTTAGTCAGATTTCCAGTTTCTCTCTCTTTCTCAGCTCCGTTCTGATCACAGACGTATGAAAGGTTCACCCTGTAAGCCCAGCTGGCTCCAAATTCATAATCTTCTTCATACTGCCCCCTTAGTGCTGGGATGATTGCCAGAAGGAGCCACTACACCAGATCAAAATACTCTGCACTTCTGATCCTTCCAGAAGTAGGAAATCCTGGAGGGTGAAAACTGGAAGCCTGGTAAGGCTGATGTATTTTGAGGTCAGGGTTGACTGGGGGCATCCATACACTTCTAAAATAAATATAGTATATTAATTCATAATTAATTTTCAACCCTTACTCTTTGATTCTCTCTCTCTCTCTCTCTCTCTCTCTCACACACACACACACACACACACACACACACACACACACACGCACACATTTCCAACCTGACCCACAGCCCAGTGTTTAAAACTGTAAGACCTTCCAGAACACTGCACCATTCCCATCCATGGGAGGCTACAGCTCTAAGATCTGACTGGCAGAATAAAACTATAGGAAACCAATTTGCTTTTAGCAAGTTCCTCCCACCTCATTATTGTTGTTTTGAATACCCACCACATTTGCAGCCTTGTTGTCTTCCATCTTCATTGCAACAGCAAAGAAGTCCGTGATGTTTTCCAATGAACAGATTTTCTGAATACATTTTGCAGAACATTTACAAAAGTGTGAAGGATAAAAGTACCTAAATATTTGCTAGACTTAGATTCTGCCTGTGACTTCATCAATGGTAACACAGTTTTCTTGACCAGAGAGAAAACACAGCTGGATTTTTGTTGAAACATGGGGAGTATGAGTTCCTGTTTGGAACTAAACCAAAGCCGACCTCTAGAGAGCTGCCTTCTCACACCATCTTCTGGTCCTGGGGTCAGTCAGAAGCTGGAGGGTTGGAGGTGACATTGGTTTTTCGGTGGTATTATGTTCTTTCAGGTGAAAGGGAGTTCCAGTGAGTAGTGTCAGGAACCCTAGGCATGCTGAAACATATTTCAGCTGTGAGGTCTGGACAGCAGAGGGTCAGGTGCCTGCTGCAGCCATATCTCAGTGAACGTGATGCCCAAAGGTTACAGCAAGCCGGGTCCTTTCCACTGCCCAGTATGGTGGTTAGGAACCGATGTCATCTGGTGCAGGAGGTGGCTCACAGGCTAGTAACGCAGCACTGAGCAGGCTAGTGCAGCAGGGCCCTCTTGAGTATAAAGGAACCCTGGCTACAGAATGAGTCCCTGTCTTAAATAAAATTAAAATTTGAAGTAAGAATGTTGCTAAGCATGGTGTCTCATGTTTGCAGTCCCAGTACTGAGAAGGGGAAGGCACGAGGATCGCCATGAGTTCTAGACCAGCATGGCTTACAGCATAAGACCCTGTCTGAAAGAAAACAAGACAAGCAGACTTTAAAAACAATGTGCAGGCTAGTTTTATGTCAACTCTACACAAGCTAGAGTCATCTAAAAGGAGGAAACCACTGAGCAAACGCCTCTATAAGATCTGACTGTAGGGCATTTTTAAAGTAGTGATTGATGGGAGACCCACATCATCGTGGCTGGTGCCATCTCTGGGTTGGTGGTCCTGGGTTCTAAAAGAAACCAGGATGAACAAGCCATAAGGGGCAAGTCCATAAGCGGCACCCCTCCACGACCTCTGTATCAGCTCCTGTCTTCAGTTTCCTGCCCTGTTGGAGTTCCTGTCCTCATTTCCTGCAGCTATGAGCAATGATGTGGAAGTGCAAGGCAAATGGACCCTTTCCACCTCGACTTGCTATTGGTCGCCATGCTCCAGCGCAGCAATAGTGACTAAGGCAGAAACTGACATCCGGGTTGTGGAGTATTGCTACAACAGACCTGACCGTGTCTTTCAGGGAGGACTGGGGACGGACTTTAAACTCTGGAATAGAAAAGCCTTTGAGAGTTGGGAGCTCAGTGGTCTGTTCTGTGGGACGCAGAAGATAAGAATAATAAGAGAAAGCAGAGGATGGAGGCCTGGATTACAAAATTCCAGAAGGACACTTGAGAGTCACTTAAAGACTTTTCTCAGCGTTGTTGCATATTTTGAGTTGAGAACCTGTGGTTCTGGTTAGCTGGGGCTGAAGAATTGTCTGTGATTAACAAGAAACTAGAAGCACTAAAGTAAAGCCTTGGTTTTACTGGGACAACTGACAACTTTACTGGGACAACTCAGCTGGAGCTGAGAAATCAGCAGAGATTAAGCATAAAA